GATATGCAGCAAAATGTAGATAATGTAACCAATTTATGTTCATATTTTTTATTTAAAATGGAAATTTACCCCCAAATGATAACTTGACAGTTTCCTTTTTATAATGAATTTGTTAATCTGGTTTTCATTTTCATTTTTATAATTAAATTCATTTATTTAAAATTGGCAGAAAATGCCCTCTATACATCTTACCCCACTGTCCCTTAAATGTTATAAGCGCTAGAATAAAACCCTAAGCAATCACCCGAGTCATTTTGGCCTTTTTATCCAATTGGACGGATTCACTTATTTGGAGAGTCTTGGAAAAAATAAGAATAATAAAATACATACACAATATATATATAAGCCTATATAAAAAATAAAATAGAAAAAAAGAATTATATACATTCTGCAGCCACATCTGGAGTGCCACAATTTCCTCCCTGCACTGTTTCTCCATACAAACAAACAACAACAACAAAATATATTTCTTTCCCTCCCCTGCCAGTGTAGGAATTTAATCCAGTGGATTTGAACAGATGTGTGTGCATAAGCCTCTTATTACCTTAAATCACCAAAAATCACGTGCTGGTCCATATACATTTTGAATTCATAATTCACAAGTGCCTTAAAATCACCTTGACTAGTTTGAGATCCGCTGCAGCAGCACATGGACTGAGACAGCATCCCTCTGTGTTGTGGCATCCTGGCATGCGCAGCTTCCGCTCTCATCCAATAGCAGGCTGGAGCCGCGCTGGGCTGCGGGGCGACGCGGTGCTTCTGATGCAGGTCTGTGGGTTTGACGAAGGATTTAACGCATTCTTCCGGTAAGTTTGCTGCTCATATGATGATATGTGAAGCTTTGAGGGTTTCTGGTGAGAATACGATCTGTCTGTGACCTTCAGGAGTTTATTCTGCATGCTAAAATCCGGATGAAGGTGTTGCGCGCAGTTTGGGAATATACCGCAATGCAGAAGAACAGGGTGGACGAGTCGGGTCATAGTTAATGTCATCCCTTTAATAAAAAAAAAATGCATAATAAAATTAGAATACATATTACAGGTATTATTTAAAAATAATAATAAATTAATGTGTGAATTCATACAAATTACATTATATAAGGTAGGCTATTTTTAACATACTGATAAATTTGTAAATTGTTATGCTGAAAGAAGCTGTGATGCGAGTTAATTATATGATATTTACTTGCCTAAAGTTGAAACGGGACAGAAGTTAGCCCTCGGTTTCCTGGCAACAAAAAGGATAGAGATTGTAATGACAGTATTGTGTCGGAGGGTGGCGCTAAATAGTTATCACCAATGACGCAGTTATTACCAAAATACACTTAATATGTTATGATCACACCAAACTCTAATTATAATATTTAAAAAACAAATGAGGAAAAGGTCAGTGAAATCCAGCTATTTTTATTGCTCTCTTAAATTAAAATGTAAATCCTTGTATTCCAGTGCGTTTGAAGATCATTCAGATCAGCTGTTAGATTTTTACTGCCACTCGCTTAGTATGAGTTTACAGTAGACATGCAGTGACCTAAATCCGAGTGTGCAGGACAAGAGCAGAGAGCAGATCAGAGGATGCAATGAGATTATAAGAGATTGGCGAAAATACCACGCATAGAAGTGGACCCCATGTGCATAACTTCTAAAAACAATTATTTAGAGAGATAGATGGCCAAACATGTTCTATAGATGCATGATAATTTGACATATCTTAGGTGGCAGATAAAAATGTCCTTGCTCACCCTCTGCAAGCATGTAGCCTATAAAAGTGCAGTGGCAGCAAATAAGAAATATGCTGCAGCATGATTGCATGTAGTATATAGCAACTGTGTATGTGTTTATGCTAAAATTCAGATTTACCTTTCCTTTATGTGTTACATCTGCAGTCATGACTGAACTTGTGGGTGTAAACATGCATGTCTACATATGTGCATCTGTGTGTGTGTGTGTGTGTGTGTGTGTGTGTGTGTGAGTGAGAGAGAAGGTATGGATTGCTGATTCACTTTTAATATTGGTAGGATGCAATAAATTGTTAATGTTTCCATTTTAGACACAGTCTGCTACGGTCTGCACATCAGAGTGAGACAATGCAGCTTTCAG